TTGTTGGTGAGAGGAGATTAAGTATGGTTTTAGACATACGCCATAATTTACTTATTATATCTGTCATTATTGACTATCTCCCCATCAGAAATGCAAGCTCCATGAGACAGGAGATTTCTCTCTTCTGTTTATTGGTGTGTCTCACACATCTAGACACAGTGCCCAGGACAATGTAGGGGCCCAATGAACACCTGTTGAATAAATGAATGAACATGTGCTATATCATATTGATACGACTATAGTATATATATTTTTTTTCTTGAGATGGGAGTTCTTTGCTCTGTTCGCCCAAGGCTGGATGCAGTGGGGCCGGATTCAGCCACTGCAAGCCCGCCTCCCAGTTCCCGCCCATCTCCTTACTCGCCTCCTAGTAAGCTGGGACTACAGGCGTCCGGCACCTCGCCCGGCTAGTTTTTGTATTTTTTTTTTTTTAGTAAGAGAAGTTTTCCACCGCGTTAGGCCAGGATGTCCGATCTCTTGACCTCGTGATCTGCCGTCATCGGCCTTCCCCAAAGTGCTGGGATTACAGGCTTGAGCCACCGTGCCTGGCAAGAAAACTATTTTAATAGATTTTAATTTTCACAGCAGCTCTGTGGGATGGTTTCTATGAACTCAGTTTTGCAGATTAGGAAACAGAGTCTGAGGTCACGTAAGTGCTTGCCCCCAAACAAGCTGATATAAATGTTAGAGCTTAGAGTTAAACTCTTATCTTTGTGTTTTCAAAAAGTGAGTTTGAAACCACTTAATTAGGACATTTTCGTTAGTTTGAACGTGTCTAATTTATTGAGTTTAAATATGAGAAAAAGGAAGCAAGTTCTGGTAGCTAATAAAAATCCATGGCCTACACAGAGTTTTTAATTCTGTTGCTGCTAGAATTCTGATGTTTCCATTTCAGATTCAAAGCTTTTTTATACATATTCTAGATCAGAGGCTCTTTCCCTCACTTCGTGAAGTCAACCTGCTCTTCAGAATATTATCTGTTCTCTCCAACAAACAAAGGAAATATGAAGGCCCATGTTCAAAAATTAAGCCAAAAGAAATATTCACACTGTATTGAGGGAATCCATAAATAATGGACTAGTTTTAGTCTTTTTAAAAATAATTCTGCCTTTATGGAAATTAAGTAATTACCAAATGTCAAATAGATCTTTGCATAGTTTATTGTAGATTTAGTTTTAGTAACTTTTGCATCTTCTGAAAGGCTCCTACCAAATGCATTTTCTAATAAATTACCTAAAGGTAAAGTTTGTTTGGACAATGTCTACGTTTTGTATTCTTCAAAGAAACAGTTTACACCTAAGTTTAACTCTTGTAAGTTGTTAAAAATCACCTAGGTTGTTTGTTTTACAATGGCTTAGAGCCTCTGGAAAATACTCTTGAACACACGGATGACCTTTTCAGCAGCACAGAGGGACAGCACCAGGTGCAAACCCAAAGGCTGCTCACTTAAAGCCAGCGCGCTTTGCTGAAGTCGAGTCTCAATTATCTTCCCCTGAAATGTTCAGGTCGGCAAACTAAACAGGTCTGCAAACTTGGGAACTGGCTGGTTTAAGCATAACAATAGAGATTCAGACAACTCTGAGAAGGGCGGTTCTGAAGAGTAACATACTGAGAAGCAATTAAAGCAGAACGAAATGTTGGCATCTCAACAAGGAGATGCAAAAATAAGTGAACAAATGTCCTGCTGGGGAGATAGGAAGGTGTGGTTTCATGGCACTCGGCTCTGTGTTTGTCATGGAACCTTTCCTTCTGCAGGCTCTGATTTGGCATTCCAACATGTGAAGCAGAGACACGGTGAAAAATTGTTTCATTTCTCCTTCTCTTCCTTTCTCTCTCCCTGGCTTCATCTCCCTCTCCTTCCCTTCCTTTCTTCTTTCCATTTTTTTCTTTGTTTTGTCTGTCTTTGCTTTTTCTTTCCT